TAGCATTTTGTGTGTGTGTGTGTGTGTGTATGTGTATGTCTGTCTGTCTGTCTGTCTGTCTGTCGTGGCACAGTTTCAAAACTGCCTCCTTGCAAAAATCAGGGTCAGTTACTAAATCTGCAGGAGTTAGCCGGCTGCTTTCGAGATACCACCTTTCCTAAAAATACTGGTTCCCAAATCATGAGTCAACGTTCCCAAGACCAACAGTACCTGAGACACGTTTTTATTACAGCAGGACAGCGTTACAGTATGGGCTGGGGTTGGGGAATCCCGTCCCCCCCCCATCTTAACAGGGCGAGTCAAAACATCTGAGCCCTCTTTAACCTCTGTGCAAGGTGCAGCATTGTGGCTGAGGGTTCAAGGGGACCCCTGTTCCGCTCTTCTTATACCACATTGAAACACTCAGTGGTCATTTAGGATCACTGATGCAGGCTTCTGGCCTTGGTTCCTTTGTTTATCCAGCTGTGGGTGCCTTGGCCCCAAATGTTCAGGCCACAAAGGAAAAAAACACTTGTGGACAATACTTCACCCTCTCTGCAACCAGGCAGGTGGGCCAGCTAGCCAGTAGTTTCTCTTCCGGCCTTCCCCAAGCAGGGGGTTCTGGATGCAGAGCAATGTAGTTCTTAGAAATCCAGCGGTCGCAGTTCTACTATATTTGGAGGGCACCATGTTGGGGAAGCAAGCTTTATGCACTGGCCCTCTCACGTAAGGCAGGCCAGACAGGTGCTGCAGCCCTTTTCCGACCAGCCTAGCAGAAAAAAGGCAGGATGGCTCTTACTCCCGTAAAAGGCGCTTCCTCGACAGTTGCTCCTTGAGCCGGATACAGACACGTCGAATGCTCTGCCTCCCCCCCGGCTATTTCCAGAAAGGCAAATGACGCTCCGAGCAGGAACTTAAGAAGAGGCCAACCGCAGCCAGGCAGCCTGGACCCGTCAACCAGGCACAAGGGTGTGCCCGCCCCCAGCTCCTGCCATTCGAAAGGGCACAAAGTCTGGCACGTCACTTCCCTTTGAAACTCTCCAGTGGAATCTCTGCCTGAGCATCTCCCCGTTGCAACCCAGAGGACGGGACAGTCCCACCTCGGTCCGCTCCCCGCTTCTGTCAGATGCCGCCAAGCCTCCCTGCTCGGGAGTTCAGTTGTTCTGTCTCTTCTCAACACTTGAAGTTAGGGTTGACGATTTGCTTCCATAGGTGGAGGGTCTGCTGGGGGCTGCGCCGATGGACCAAGAGTAACTTGCTGTGCACACAGGGGTCCGCCCGATCCTTCTCGGCGATATCGAAGGTCATGAAGCCAGCATGGGCCTCGGGGGTGATGCCCAGGGCCTGGAAGCACAACCCCGTGTAAACGTCGTCGATCGGGTAGAAGGCCACGTGCTGAGAAATGAGGTGGAGCGACCGGGCTAGGGGTCCGGAAAAGATGTACCCCCCACCGCCCGCGTAGGCTGGATACGGCCCCACGTAGAAGGATTCCGGCACGTAGTACTTACTCCTTTGGACCCGGAAGGGCGAGGCGTTGGCCATCACCTGGCCCGTGTAGAGGGGCTTGCTGGCATCTAAGGAGCTCAGGTAATCCAAGACTTTGGGCGTGTTGATGAAAACGTCATCGTCCCCCTTGAGAATAAAACGGACGTCCTGGCAATGGTCCAGCGTCCAGCTCAAGAACAGGTTGTCCTTGAGGGTCAGGTTGAAGAAGGTGTCTTCAAAGTCCCACATCAAGATGTCCCCAAAACTCCGACTCTCAAAGTAGACCAGGTGTTGCAGGCGGGGCCCGTAGCGTCCCTGGGCCGTGCCCAGCAAGAAGACGGTGCGCACGGCGAGCCCGCCGGACTCTCCTTCCTGCCCCCAAGTGTCCCGCACCGCTTGGCGGGCAGCAAAGTTCCTGGGCAGCGATTTGATGGCCAACAGCAAGAAGGTGCCGTTCTTCGCATCGGCACACTTGTCGGGCTGATTGATCAAGAGGGAGAAGTTCCTACAGTCCCCGTAGAGAATAAAGTTCTTATAAAGCTCTGAATACGAACCAAAGTTTTTGATCTTGCCTGCCTGTTCGGCTGCATCGGAACTGGAGCATTGGTTCCAGGAAGCGTTGGCCGCCGAGCCTTCTTCCAGGGCCCGGAAATTCTTGTATTGCTTTTCGTTCCAGTAAGCTTTCGCTCGCGGGATGCTTTGGCGGAGCCCCTGCAGCGAAACGTTGAAGTGCTGGAAGACAAACGCCGGCGAGGAGGCGTCCGAGGACTGGAGGGGGGTGATGGAACTGCTTGGCCAGCCGGCCGTGTGCGGCGTTGGGTATCGCTCCTCCTGCTCGGCAGTCCACTCGATGTAGGCCTTGAGAGCCACCAGGGTCAGCAACGCCGTGGCTACCGAGAGGTACCGGGAATCTCTCATTTTTCTCCTCCTGGCGGGGAAAAACAAGCAGCCGACATATAAAGAGGCAGTAAATGGAACTGGCATTCCTAATACTGAACCTTCAGGGACGGGGTTCACACAACCCGGTACACCGTAAACCTGGGTTAACAAGCTGCAGTTGCAAGGTTCACACAAGGGGTGAACTTGCAAAGTTGCTTTACAATTAGTAAATTCTTCCTTGTCACTTTGAATGTATAGAGCAGTGTTTCTCAGCCTTGGCAACTTGAAGAGGTGTGGACTTCAACTCCCAGAATTCCCCAGCATGGCTGGCTGGGGAATTCTGGGAGTTGAAGTCCATACCTCTTCAAGTTGCCAAGGCTGAGAAACACTGGTATGGTTATTATTATAGGCATGGACCTTTTATTACAGAACCTCCATATTTTATATTATGATGTTATAAATAATTCTAATGCATTATCATTTTAATTGTTTTATCCCAGAAGAGGTGCATAATCAATAAAACAACTACTACTGCCATGCAAATCCCAAAGAAATTGACCCAGCTGGGCTTCCTGTGAGTGTCTGCTTCACACAACATATTGTGCATTATGAACCATAATGGCACAACTTCTTTTTACTAAACCCATCCTTTGAACCCAGCCAGGGAGTGAAGAATCAAATACTTTATAGATCGCCCCTTTATAATTTCATGCATGGTTATGTGAGCCACTCATAGTCCCTGCCATAAGAGTCTCCTACTCGAATCGGGGGCTTATTTAAAGCCACCTACAAAGATTGTGATATGGGGAGGGGGGGAATCTGGGCCAGGAATTTTATTTTGAATGAAAGGATTTCAGCCAAACATAAAATGCTTCCTGAGCCACTTAAATTGTTCAGTCAAGAAACTTACAAAACAAAAGACATGGCACTAAAGGAAAAGGTATTGGGAAGGAGGAGGAAAAATAAACTCAGGCACTACTACTTGATCTTAGCTGCAAAGTTTCATGGACAAACAGTTGCAATGCATCCACATTCAGAGAGAGAAGCAAAAATGGGAAAATCTTAGTTTACTTTTCCTTCCCATACTGCAGGACATTGGGGGCAGGATCACCAAATAATACTTAACTAATATTTGCATTGCTATCTGGCTGTTTCTAGTTCCTGTAATTACAGATAATCATTGTTCCGCATTGCTGTACCATCTATATTTGCTGTTTACAACTTAAATGCAACAGAAAACATTTCAGAGCGCAAAGGGAAGGTGGGTGGGAAATGTTGTGGGAGGCCAAGCACGGGCAGGAGCCAAGAGTTGCAAACTGAGGAACTGCTTTGGGAAATGGAGCCAGTTGCAAAGTTGAAAGTCGGAACTGATCAGAAGATCGTAGGCTGCCAAGAAGGAGATCCTGGGAACACAGATCTTAAGCA